CATCCTTTGTTTTCTTTTTCTTTTTTTGCATGCATCCACACTACAGTCTAACTAATCTTCCACCTGTTGGGATTATCTTCTTTTTTGTTTCTTAATGTTAATGTGTTTTGTGTGTTTTTGCTCTCTCTGTGTTTATCCTACAATAATTATTATTGCTACTCCATTGTGTGTGTGTGTGTTGTTGGAGACTCTCTGTTTGTGTGCCTGGTGGCGTGCACTGTGATAATGATGAACTGTTTTTTGCAGTGAAAAAGAAATAATAATATCAGATGAATTTATATTTATAATTGCGTATATACACACATATAGACTTACACCCATAGTTGGTGTATATTTCTGTGTTTATTTGTTAAAGGGCTAATGTTTAATATCTGTTTTTATTTGTTTGCTTACTTGTGTTTTGCTCTTCCTTTCTGTGTGCTTTGCCTTGCACCGTTGTGGTGATATGCGTTGTGCGGAGCAAAGAAAGAAAATAGTAGTATATTCATTTTGTATTCTTAATTGCTTGAACAGATGAGTGTACCCAAAGAGTTGTGCTAATTTTGAGTAGTTGATGCTTCTCTTAATTTGTTTTTTTCATACATTTTTCGTTGTTTGGGCGCATTGTGCTTTCCGTTTCAATGTTACGTTGAATTGTTTTATGCTGAGAGTAAATAAAAAGGAATTCATATATATATTCATAATTTTGCACATGGTTCTACTGAAAGTGAAAGGGTTATTTATTTCTGTGCATGCTTCTTCAGGTCGTTCTGTTGATTTCTTTTTTTTTTCATTTTTTGAGGGGTTAATTGGGCTTATCTGTTTGTTAATGGGTATTGTGTGATTGTTTCTTTCATTTGGGCACTATCTGAGAGATGTTTGCAGTTACCTGTTATGTTAAGTTTGCTATTACCCTTTTTCGTTTTCTTCTCTTTATGTGCTTTTCTTTATTTATGTTTTTGTTGCCCTTTCTTTCTGTTTTTGTTTTGTTTAGATCACTAAATAGAGATAGTAACACCAACGGGGAATCGTAATGATGGCAATACGTCACGTCCTTTGTGTTCTGACTATAGCACTGTCTTGTCTCTGCAGTTGTGTGGTAGCTGCTGATAAACATAAAGCTCTTGAGGCTGAGGATCCTTGTTCATCTGGTTCACCAACTGAGGATGCTGGTAAGTCTAAGTGTGCAGAAAGTAGTGGTAGAGGACGTATTGATGATCATGTTCGCCCTGATCAATCACAACAACTGGTAAAGCCGCATAGTCCAGTGAGCAACACAAATGGAGACCATCGAGAAGAGGGAAGTGTTAGTAGCGGCACGAAAGATGACCTCGCCGCACCAGGACCGGAAGAAGAACAAGTCCATGAAGACACAGGGAGTCATGTCAAAAAGCCAAGTGTTGATGCTGAAAAATCTGGTTCCCTTACTGATGGTGAAGAGCGACGAGGTGTCGAAAGTCTTTCTCCATCACGTACGCCTGCACCAGGTGGTAAAGTGCAAACCGAGAATAAAGAAGACGCGTTGGGACCTGAGGGACAAAATGTGGATGCCTCTCCAGCAAATGGAAGAGGGAAAGGAAGCCAAACTGCTGAAGAGCGAAAAGAAGAGAAACTGGAAGATCCTCCACAAGGAGAGCTGACTGATAATGCAAGGAGAACTGAAGCATCACCTACTGAAGTGGGCACTACACGGACTGAGGGCAATAACGGGAATCAACAAGCAGAAGGAAATGGTGTTCAGTCTACTTCAGAGACTTCACCTGCACCTGCAGAGGATGAGTCAACGAGGGACACTGCCAACACACCCAGTAATGATGAGGAATCAACGTCAACTACCACCACAACCACAACACTTCCTCCTGAACTCACAAACAACAAGAAGGGTGATGCAGACAGCAGCAGCAGTATCAGCAGTTCTGTGTGGGTGCGTGTACCACTACTGATTGTGGTTACACTGGCCTGTATTCTTGTGTGCTGATTGTGGTGGTGATCTGACTCAGGTCATCCTTTGTTTTCTTTTTTTTTTTTTTTGCATGCATCCCCACAGTCTAACTAATCTTCCACCTGTTGGGATTTCTCTTATTCTTAATGTTATTGTGTTTTGTGTGTTTTTGCTCTCTCTGTGTGTTTATCCTATAATAATTATTATTGCTACTACTCCATTGTGTGTGTGTATTATTGGAGACTCTCTGTGTGTGTGTGTGCACCTGGGCTTGCACTATGATAATGATGATGAACTGCTTTTTGAAGTGGGAAAAAAGAAAGAAATAATAATAATAGATGAATTTATATTTATAATTGCGTATATACACACATATAGACTTACACCCATAATTGGTGTATTTCTATGTTTACTGGGTAAATTGGGCTAATTGAAACTTTTTGTTTCTTCGTTTTGCTGGGTCGTTATGGCCTTTGACCTGCATAGTGTTGGTATTTTGCTTTTCGCAGAGGGCAAAATATTAAGTGTTACGGAGAAATTTAGACTTTGCTATTTACTTAGTAGTGAACAGAGAGCTATGTATTTGTGTCTTTTCTGCTCTTGTTGGTCGCATTAAAAAATTGTTTTCTTGATTCTTTCTCTTTGGGGTTAATTTTTGTTTTCTTAATTACGGGTTCTTGTGTGTTTTGTTCCTGTAATTAGACGTTTTCTCAGTGATTATTGTGATATTGTGTTTTCTCTGTTTGTAAATGTCATTTGTTTTGTTCATTTGATGTGTGAATATAATTTTCTTGTTTTTTTTTATTAATTGTTTTGTGTTTTTTCTCATTATTTCTTATTTCTGTGACTTAGAGATACCAGGAAACAATTGCAACAGCCATTCTCGTGATGATAAAGCGTTACGTGCTTTCTGTTTTGGTCCTCGCACTGTGTTGTGTCTGTGGATGTGTGGTAGCTGAAAATGATCCTGCGGCACATACAATTAATGATCTTGGTACTGTCACTCAGGATAAAGGATTGCAGGATGCGTTGGAATCTCCTGAGACAGAAGTGGAAGATACAGAAGCAGAATGTAAATCAGGTGGAATAAAGGAAAAAAATTGCAAACCAAATCCCCCGCCGCAATTGAATCCGAAAGGTGATCAACAGAATGGAACAAGACCTGAAGTTGATGCGCTTCCACAACCAACAATAACGAGTCCCAGTCTTTCACCTTCTCCTGATACTCTTGGGGTTCCTGCACCTGCCGCTCCTCCTTCAACTCCTGCCCCTCCTAAACCTCCTGCTGTTGGTGCTGCTGAACCTTCATTGGCAGGTTCTTCTGGAGTACATGGTGCAAAAGCGACAAAAGAGAGTGAAACCGGGACTGAACAGAGTAAAGATGCTGAGAAACCTGAACAAGCTGAAGGTACACCAAACATGGACACTCCTCAAACTGAAGGTGAACAGAAGAATGTGGGGGCAGAAGGAGCAAAGGGAAGTCAAAATGGAGCACAACCCAATTCTTCTGCAGGACCCACTACAAGTAATACAGACACTCCAGAAACCAACGGGAGACAAGAACAGACAACTGACACAAAGGATTCTCAACCAAACAATGATACAGGTGATACCAATAACTCAGAAACCATAAACTCTGACAATACCAATACAACCAGTAATAATAAGGAATCAACTACCACAACAACAACAACCACAACAACACTTCCTCCTGAACTCACAAACAACAAGAAGGGTGATGCAGACAGCAGCAGCAGTATCAGCAGTTCTGTGTGGGTGCGTGTACCACCACTACTGATTGTGGTTACACTGGCCTATATTCTTGTGTGCTGATTGTGGTAATGGTAGTGGTGTGACTCAGGTCATCCTTTGTTTTCTTTTCTTTTCTTTTGCATGCATCCCTACAGTCTAACTAATCTTTCATCTGTTGGGCTTTTTTTCTTTTTTTTGTTTCTTAATGTTAATGTGTTTTGTGTGTTTTTGCTCTCTGTGTGTTTATCCTATAATAATTATTATTGCTACTACTCCATTGTGTGTGTGTGTGTGTTCTTGGAGACTCTCTCTGTGTGTGCACCTGGGCTTGCACTGTAATGATGATGAACTGCTTTTTGCAGTAAGGAAGAGAAAGGAAATAATAATAACAGATGAATTTATTTTTATAATTGCGTATATACACATATATGGACTTACACCCATAGTTGGTGTATTTCTGAGCATAGTTGGTAAATTGTGCTAATATTTAATTCTTTTTTTTGCCTGTGTTTTGTTGGGTCGTTGTGTGTTTTGACCTGCACCGGTTTGATATATTTTCTTTTGCAGAGGGAAGAAATATTAACTGTTACACATAATTTCATTCTTTGCTATATATGCGGACCACGCAATCAAGAGCTATATATTTCTTTATTTCCTGCTTTTGTTGGTCGCAATTTTTAATTATTTATGTATCTTTCTTTCAGAGATAATTAAGATTTTCTGTTTAATACTGGGTATTGTGTTACTTTTTTTTTACTTTAATTGGACACTCTAGGTTATTTTTTCTTCTTTGTTTTATGTTTATCTGTTGCTGGTTGATTTGTTTTGTTTTTGTTTGTGTTTGTGTGTTTATTTTATTGATGTGTTGCCTTTCTCTCTGTATGTTCTTATTTTTTATGGTGTAGTCTAGTCTATTTAGGCAATGCCCACTTTGTATGACTGTGATGAAGATGCGCCAAG